TAAAAAACAAACATTTCGATCATGGATTACAAAAAATTCGATCATGGATTACAAAAATTCTATCATGGGTTACAAAAAATTCGATCATGGATTACAAAAAAAAACAAAACAATTCAATCATGGATTACAAAAAAATCGATCAATTATTACAAAAAAATCTATCATGGATTACAAAAAAAATAAAAATAAAAAAAATAAAATAAAAAAAATAAAATCCCGTACGGAACTCGCCGATTCATTGTACGGGACTCGCCAATTCCGTAGAGTGAATCGGCGAGTCACTGTGCAGAATCGTACGGTTCTCTCTAGAACCGGACGATTCCCGTTTTTTTCGTCGATTCGATCTGTCCATGGCGATTCCTGAGTCGAACCTGGCGACTCGGCGTTTTTTAAACACTGGGCAAAACTAATGCTAACAATATGTTTTCGATCCTAAATTTTGAAGGCATAATCTTTTGAACGTACGGACCAACCTCAAAGAGAAAAAAACGTTTAAAATCTCACTTGCTACATGTTTAAAAAAAGTTGACATCCCAAGATTGCACATGAAACGTCTAATATTTAAGGGAAAAGATCTAGATATTGAAAAAATTAAAATTTAAATTTGTTTTGGAAAAATAGATCCGTACATTTTTTTTTAGTTTTATTTCTCGACAAACCAAAGGTTTCAAAACATATCTCCCAACCTAGAAATCTCATATATTATATCTTCTAACCCATTGAACTAATTTTATCGATCTTTTAAATCCAAACAAAAGTTAAAAGGACATAGTTTTTTTATTCCTTTCTAAACCATTTTTTTTCTCTCTCTTCTCCTGTTTCTCTCTTCAAAGTTATCTTTTTTTTAACAGTAAAAAAAGCTAACAAAATAGGTGGGGGCTTGTTTTTCCCACTAAATTATCCAAAAGGTAAAAAATGAAAAATATCTACATCTTTTTAAGTTTTATTTCTTAACAAACCTAAGGTTTAAAAATATAAATCTCATGTACTATATCTTCTAACCTTTGGACCATCTTACCCCATCTGTTTAGTCCAAAAAAAAGTTCAAAAGACTAAGGTGTGGAGTACTACTACCACTACCCCAACCCCTATGGGAAATTCATATTTTCTTTGATGATAATCATCTATGGGTGTGGTTTGTATAGAGTCAAAGGTCTAAAGAATCAAATTAGAACCCACCTTCAATCAATGTCGAGAAATGTAATTTCAATACTGGAAATCTTTGACTAACCTTAAAATATATTTTCATCCTTAATTATAAAATTTAAAGCTTCAAAAATAGTGTAGACAGAGTAGATCTAAGAAAACTTGAATAACTTTAAAATTGACGGTCTAAAAATGTTTCACAAGATGCACTATTTCCAAAACTTGAAATCTATTTTTTTTCAAGTTTATGCATCTTGATGTCGAGATGATCAATTTGAGGATATTTGGGCATCAAAACAACCTCTTCAAATAAGATTTTGAAGGTACACCCTAATTTGATTGTTTAGAGCCTAGGTTCCATATAAACTTTTTCCATAATGTAATGATACTTAATGGATTTGTTCTATCAAATAGCAATTTTGCCAAGAGAGTTAACGTGCCAAATATCATTCACACACGATTGATGTATAATTTCTTTTCATTTTCCAAACCTAAATGAGAAAATTGCGAAAACCTTCCCAAAATAGACTTCTTAAGCACTTTAACCAAGCCAACTTTTCCTACCAAATACCCCATAAAAGCCAACTTTTCCTCCCAAATACCCCATACAAAAAGTTCTTTTTTTTGGTACAAATATACCCTTCTTTCACCTAACAAATTATTTTCACCGGAGAGGGCAATCCGGCTTTTAGAACAGACGGTCCGATGATTATTTTTGCTGAAATGGGCGGTCCGACATTTGGAATAGGCGGACCAACGATTGGAATGGGTGTTTGGAACAGGCAGTTCGGCGATTGGAATGGGCGATCCGACATTTCATTGTGGCGGTTTGAGGATTATGCTATTAGAGAAATAGGCAGTCCGACGTTCTGAAGCACTTCGGCATTTTGAAGATGTCATTGTGAGCAGTATGGTGTTTTGATATAGCGGTCCTGCAGTTTGGAGAGACATTTCGGCGCCCATTTTGAAGTGAGCAGTCAGCATTATAGACGTACAGCATGCGTTTCCTTTTATTTTATTGGGACCTGAAAATGATCTGTTACATGAGGGACTTTTTTGTACAGGGTCTTTGCTAGAGAAGATGATGTTTTTGGGGAATGGCTAGGAGAAGTTGGGTGGAGGTTAAAGTGCCTAAAAAGTCTACTTTAAGGCGCCTCTGCACTTTTCCTAAAATCCTGCGTACGTGTCGAAACTCCCATCGTAAACTCTAGATAACAAACACCCTGCCTGAAGACCCATCTCCCTCTCCTTCAAAATACAAAAAATGCTCATCCCCCTCGGCGCCACTTCTCTCCGCCTCCGCCCCTCTCTCCACCGCCCCTCCCGTCTCTTTTGTGGCCGAAGCCCATCATTTTCTAGTGAAAACCTCCCAATTTTCGTCCAAAATCTTGGAACTTCCGGCCAAAACCCCTCAGTTTCTAGTCAGATTGAAACTCCCTTCCAGAGTCCTCTGATATCCGGCCAAAACCTCTCAATTTTCAGCCAGAGCCTCACGATATCCGACCAAGAGCTCGCCTCACGAGGCTTTATTGTCCATCACAACGCAGAAAACCTTGACCCAGACGACCTCAACTCTGTGTTCGTAAAAGTAGGGTTTCCTCGAAGACAGAAGGAGAAGATCGTGAAAGCCTTAGATAACACTCCCTCTCTCATATGGATCGAAGACACGAGGTCGAAGAAGCTAGTGGCCTTTGCCAGAGCAACAGGAGATGACATTTTCAATGCGATTATATGGGACGTTGTCGTGGACCCATCGTTTCAGGGCTTTGGTCTCGGAAAAGCGGTAATGGAGAGGCTTCTGAAAGGCCTTTTGGAGAAGGGGATTGTGAATATTGCATTGTATGCGGAGCCTGGGGTTTTAGGGTTTTACAGGCCGTTAGGGTTTGCCGCCGATCCTGATGGGATTAGGGGGATGGTGTACTCAAGGAGAAAGAAGAAGAAGCAGTGAGTGAAGATGAGCAGGCTCTCTCTCTCTCGCTCTCCCTCCCTCTCTTCTGTCGTGAAAAAAGAAAGGGTCCCAGTTTCTATGCGGCTAAGCCCGCATGTGTAGAAATGCGGGTTTATTATTAAATATATTTTTGAGATGGATTTTTGGATTAAATTTTTGAAAAGATGTAATCTCTAACATAGAAATAATGAATATAAATAAATAAATAAATTTTAAAAACCATAAATAATAAATAATAATTCTAATCATTTTTAAATGGAACACTTACTTGCATTCATTTTTATGCTTTTTACACTTTTTGGACGGTATAACATGCGATGAAACAATTTTCCAAAAAAAGAAGAAGCAGCGGGGATTGATGAGTAGTCTCTTTCACTCTCTCTCTCGTTGTTTATCTTTGTTTCTATCTCACCACGGTATCATTTTCTTGTTTCCTTCTTGTATTACACCCGTGGTTACGGTATTGTTCATTTGGTATTGTTCATTTGGGAGTTTTTATCCCTACCTCGAGGTGGTACGTTTACGGGGCAAATGAACACAAAGAGGCAATTTACTTTTTGAAGAAGTTTATAGAAGTGCGAGGCTTTAAACAATCAAATTAAAGCATATCTCAAAATTCATTAAAAAAGGTTGTTTCGATGCTGAAAAATCCTCGATTCGATCATTTCAACCTCAAGATGTATGGATATAAGAAAAAGAAGTTTTCAAGTATCGAAATCTTGTAATGTATTATCTAGATCGTCAATTTTCAAGTGTTCGTAGATCTACTCGATCTACACTATTTTCTGACTTTAAATTTTTATATTAGAGATAAAAATAAATTGACATACCATCATAAAGATTTCTAATATTAAAGCAAAATATTTCGGCATTATTTAAAGGTATGTCTTATTTTGATTGTTTAGAGCCTCGACCTTACACCAACCACACCTTTTACTTTTACTATAGAGAACAATTGCTCTTGTCTTTTAGTTTTTAAATACGGTAGTTGGAAACCTATCATTGACTATACTCAAAGCCTAAAAAAAAAAATTTCTGAACTTTAACATCTAATGGCTAAAAGTAATTGTGACTTATTTGTAAAAAAGATAAATGGTATCGTAGTATAGAATCCCAGTTCATATTACACATGGCCGCAATGTTAACGTATGTATATGGATATGTATCATACTGATGCATATCAATACAGATATCCATCAGTATGGATACATATCTCTTGATAACAATAGGATATGTGTCATATTGACAAATTTCAATATGGATATACAACTGTATGGATACATATCTCTTGATAAGATTAGGTGGTGTATATCCATAACCATTGATATTTATCTTTAATTGTTACTAGTTGTATATTTATATGGAGTCTTGTATATTCTTGATTAATCAATTTAATAGAGTTCTCTGCAGTATTCTGAAATAATCTTTTATGGGGACCTAAGGCCCAAATATACAGAAATACAGTTTCTAACATGATATCAGAGCCATAAGCTCCTCAACCTCAGATCTGAGGTTTGAGCTCAGATCTGAGGTTGTCGTAAGGTGCGAGCTTAGATCATAGTTTTGTTACGATCATTCAACAAAACCTTTACTACATAATCCTCCACCCGTCAATTTGCTTCACCTGCCCGTACTCCTTTTCTTCCCTTTTGCTTTACAATTTGCATCAAGAAATTATCTCCTAGAGAGAGAAAGTGTACTTATCACTTTCTTCCCAATTTGTTGAGACCTACTACGTTGAACACATCAACTCCCTATGGTGCAAAGGCTTTTTTGTATGTAGAAAATCTTTTGGCAAAGCAGCTGAAGAAGTGCTGCGTCTAGGAGTTAAAGCTTGGGTCACTCGTGCTCAAGTAGTTCGCTATCATCAACAAGATTTGCGACCTCATCTCACGAGTGTGGCTAAGGGATTTGTATCGAGTAGTGACCTTTCTCTCTCTAAATTTAAGTCTGGTGGGGTTGAGGCTTTGGTTCTTATTATTGTTTTTGGGCTATTGAATTCTTTCTTTGAGGGGAAGTTAGTGGCCAAATTGCCCTTTTCACCTTCTAGTTTTGTGTAAAAGGTGAGGCCTTATTTGCAACACAATCAAGCCATGGCCGATGAATCAAAGGCTCCAAGGCGCAAGCCGAGGCAGGTATGAATGGCGATCGGTGCCCTTTAAGCACCCTACAACTTTTGAAACCCTCTTTCTTACATTTGGCCATCCTCTCTCTCCCTACTTCATACTCTATTGGGCAGTTTTGTTTGGCAAAAAGAGCACCTCTAAGGTTCTTCTTATTCCAAAAGCCTGCATTCATTTCATAAATAGAAGCCTCTTTATTTGGGTAAATTCCTTCTTTTGTTGGGTGTCCTCTCTTTCATTCTACACGTTCAAAAAGTGCACCTTGAGCAAGTGCACTATTAGGTTCTTTACTATTTTATAAAGGTAAACGATTGCTATTGTGCTCCCTCTGATTTGTCTCTCTGCCAAATCGTGTTTCGACTCTTTGATATATTTTGGATCTTACTGTTCTCAACTCTTAATCTAAAGTCCAACAGTTTTTGTTGATCTGTTGCCGACTTATGTTGGCTCTTCCAAGTGCCTCATATTTGATGATCGAATTTCTTGATCCTGGTTGATGATCAAGATTCTGTTACTTGATCATGTTTAATGATTGAGTTTTTTGTTACTCAATCCTATTGGATGATGGAGTTTTCCCTGACTCCATCATGTTCGATAATCGTATGTTTTATTACTAGATCTTGTCTGATGATCGCATTTTTCGTTATTCAATCCTGTATATTGATCAAGTTTTTTGTTACTCGATCCCGGATGTTTCGAAGGCCTGTTTGTTTGCAATTGATCGAGTTTTTCGTTACTGGATGCCGGATGTTCCTTAGGCCGTCTGTTTGTGAGGTATGTCGTTTTTCTGTACTTGTTGTTCAAGCAATCTGAGCATGGAGACCACTGCTTCTATCGGTCACGCCATGAACCTGAAGACCTGAAGATCCAACTCTTTTGTTTATGCAACTTATTGCTCAAACTGCAGATGCATCTTTAGTTTGAGGGAGGGTGTTAATCTATGGACATGGATATGTATCATGGTGATGCATATCAATACGTATATCCATCTGTATGGATACATATCTCTTTATAAGATTAGGATATGTATCAGTATGATACATATCAGTACGGATATGCATCTGTAGGGATACATATCTCTTGATAAGATTGGTATTTATCTTTAGTTGTTACTGACCGTATATTTATATGGGGTCTTGTATATTCTTGATTAATCGATTTAATAGAATTCTCTGCCGTGTTCTGAAATAATCTTCTATCGAGGCGTAAGGCTCAAATATACAGAAATACAGTTTCTAACACATAATAGCAAAAGAGTTTTTTATTTTTAGTTCTAAAAAAAATTACTACGCCCACAACAAAAAGGTTAGATGTTCTCCCCCCCCACCCCTCCCCACCCCACCGCACCCCACCCCACCGAAACTCCTCTTCTCTATCTCCCCTCTCTCCTTCTCTCTGTAAGCCTACTTTCACATTCAGAGCTCTGGTTCTTTTAAAATGGGAATAGGTTTATCCATTTCTCTCTCATATATCTCCCCAAAAGCATAAATAGCTTTGTTGGTTTCTCTCTTTAAAAATGTAAATGGGTTCGTTAGTTTCATTCCCTTTCTTTCCATGTTTTCTCTCTCTAAGTGGATACCATGCCCATCAGGTCTTTAGAGACAGAAACCAAGCCATTTATATTTTTAAAGAGATATGAATATGAACAGGAATGAAGCCTTGAGAGGGACAAAAACAATATTATACTGTTGAGTTATTGACACATGGGAATGACATAAGACCCCTCTTCTCCACCGTTAGATCTACAACCAATCTTAATATGCATATCGGGGGTTACCGGGTGAACTGGTCAACCGGTAGACCATTAAAAATATGTAATGTGACATGGAACAAAAACCACCAAACCCCAGTTCGCATCAATGCCCCCCGCTGTTTTTAATAGCCTGTCTGCATAGATCGAGATAGAGAAGAGAGAGAAAGGATTGAAAGCTTGAAAGACAAAAAAACATAAATGTTGACATACTATCTCCTCTCTCTTATCCATTTCAAACATCACAAAACAAAAGCTATAGTATTTATCATTTCTCTCTCAATCTATTTGGGGTAAATCATTTCTCTTTTTGTTTACTACTAACTTATAGATAAAAGTGAAACATTTTCGGTCACCATTCTTTCTAGATGCGTAGCCTTTGGTGAGTCGGGCCTTTGCCCTAGTTGGCTGACACAGTATGCTAAAGCAATTTCTACAAACAGCTGCAGTCTTGGAGCGGCTGAAACCTTAAAGAAACTTGGAATTTAACATCCATAAAAATGGAATGGGACATTGAACGGCCCGATGTTGAAGCCAATTAAATTCATTTAAAGGCATAAATTTTGATTAATTGTAAAACCACTACTTAGATTTCCATCTCTATTGTTTCTCTCACTTTTTTCCCTCTTGTGTTTCTCCTCAATTTCAGATTTTTCGCTCTTCTTTCTCCACTTTTTATTCTTCTGAGTTTCCTCAGTTTCCTCGCCTATTTCTGAGTTCAGGCCCTCTCTCTTTCTCTCTCTGGGTTAAGTGGGTTGACGCTAAGCATAAAGAGAGAAAAGGGATTTCTAGGTCATTCCATAAGGGGTCTTGTTTATCAAGGCTCATGACTCATATCTCGAGGAGTGCCCTGATCCAACGGACAATCCCTGGTGTGGCACAAAGGCCATCTTAATAGGAGGGTCCTATATATATATATATATATATATGGAAAAACGTCTATGAGTGAAATTGAACAATATTTTCGCCCATAAGCTCGATATTGTCCGATTTTTTCGGACGGCGTGGATTAAAGACCATCATGGACGTAGCATGTCTGTGATGGAATTTTTTCACGCAAAATTTGTACGGGGACAGCCATGGCTCTTGTAGAACCGTGATTGGTTTTAGAGTAAACCATTACAAACATAGCATGTCCGTGATGGGGGCGAACATCTTAGCAATTC